CCTGATTTGGATTTATATTTTATTTTCCCTATAATTTGCACTACAAGAAAATTCACATTTAGTGATTAAATTATTGATCATTAAATCTTTATTTTTTGTCACAAATTATTATTAGTGATAAAATTTAAATCGTTAGTAAAACCCTTGTCACTAATGCTCTTAATGACAAATTAGATACCTGTCACAAAAAATAATTTTATAGTGATAGAAAAAATTGACATTGTTAACAAGTTATTTATAACAATTTTATTCGTCACAAAAAAATATGTCATAAATGCAATTATGATGCAAAATTTAGTCATTAATTATTAAAATTGATATTAAATAAAAAAGATATTTATATAATTACAATACAAATATTTTAACAAAAATTATCACAAAAAAATAATGTATAAATTTATCACAAAAGTTTAATAAAAAATATTATTATTTCAATACTAATCAATTTTGATTAAAATTAATCAAACCCGATTAAAATTGATCAGGTCCAAACTAATCTCAAGTTTTATTGAGATTCACATGTTTTATAGTGCACAAATTTATTTTCTTAAATATTTCTTATTGATGTGGGATATATTTATAGTGCAAAACCTTGTTCTCTTATGTGTTTTTTATCGATGTGGGATGCACTGATTAGAGAAAATTGATAATTTTTAATGATGAAATATATTTTTTAGTAATAAATTATTTGTCACTATTGAATATGTTAGGTATATGTGACCAATGTTAGAATTTTGTCATAATTGTAATGTATTATAATGATAATTTTTATCGACAAAAACTTATTTTATCTCTATAAATATTTTTTGGTGACAAAATATATTTTTTATAATAAATTTTTTTATTTATCATTAAATAAATATGCATTTGTGACTAATTTTTTTAATTTGTCATGATTATAATAAGTTATAGTGATGATTTTAAAATTTATCATAAATTTTTGTCATTAAAAATCATGTTTCTTGTAGTGTTGATTATTTACCCAATCATCATCCATATTAGCATCCAGTTCCTCATCCACATTAGCACAGCAGAAATAACAAAACACCAGAGCCATAACTTTAACAATAACAAAAGTTAAAAGGGTGAACCCAGATCTGGGTTCTCTTGAAGAACCTGGACCCAGATCCAAGCGCTCTTGAATTGGCTTTAGTCAAACCTTGCATCATCTTGATTTGGATTTATATTTTATTTTCCCTATAATTTGATTATTTACCCAATCATCATCCATATTAGCATCCAGTTCCTCACCCACCTTAGCACAGTAGAAATAACAAAACACCAGAGTCATAACTTTAACAAAACAGTAGAAATCCCAAAGCACCAGAGCCATAACTTTAACAATAACAAAAGCTAAAAGAGTGAACCCGGATCTGTGTTCTCCTAGAGAACCTGGATCTGGGTTCTCTTGGAGAACCCAGAACTAGGTTCCCCAGGGGAACGCCGAAACTGGGTTCCCTAGGAGAACCCCAAAACTAGGTTCTCAAGGGTAACCCAGAACTGGGTTCCTCAAGAGAACCTCGTAACTGGATTCTCAAGAGAACCCAAACTTGGGTTGTCCAAAAGGGGGAAGAGAAGGAAGAAGAGGGAAGGTGAGGGAAAGAAGAAGAAAAAGAAAGGAGGAGGAGAGAAAAGAAGGAAGAAATCATGGGCAAAACAAAGTCTTCTCATTCCCAATCTCAGAGTGCTTTCTTCCTCACCTTTCCTTTCGTTTGTTTGTTTAATTTCAGATTATGAACATTTTATTAGAGCAGAGGAGATGTTTGGAAACAAATTTTAGTTGTTCGCTTTTAATTTAAACCGTTGAACATTAATATTTTAAGGTTGTGTGTTGATTTGGGTGAATGAACTGAGTGTACCCATGTCATTACCTTTTTAAATAATATTTTTATATGATACAAGGATCAAATATTGCCCTTTGGGCAAGTTAGATAATACCCTATAATAATAATAATTTTTGCTGAGTTTGAGACATGTTTTTTGAGCTTGAGAATCACGTGTTTACTTCATCAATTTCAAGGGGGGATCAAGTCCGTACAGAAATACTAAAAGTCTCAAATTTACACTGCTTCTTCTTGTCGTCTGTATATGATTTTACGGCTTCTATAATTGACCAATTGATAAAATGATGAAAGCACGCATGCGCATCTTGGTCACCACATACCCA